TAAATTCCTACTTGACCAAACTTCCATCTCTGATCACAAAGCTTAGACTCACTTGGCTTTGTAGCACCCAGCCAACACAGGGTTTGATAGTCATGGAATCCCCTTGAGTACCAAAGCAAAGTTCTTGGTGGTAGTTTTTTTTTTTTTGGCAGTACTGGGGTTTGAACTCAGAGCCTCATGCTTGCTAGGCAGGAGCTCTACCACTTGAGCCACTCCACCAGCTCCCCTCCCCCCTTTTTTTTGTGATGGGTTTTTTCGAGATAGGGTCTCTTAAACTATTTGCTTGGGCAGGCCTTGAACTACGATCATCCTGGCCTCTGTCTCCTGAGTAGCAAGGATTACAGGCATGAGCCCCAGCACCAGGCTTTGGTAGTAGTTTGAGCCTCACTGGATTCCTTTAATTGTTCCAGGCCAGCGTCTAACTCAAACTTTAGTCAGTCAAGGACCAACACTACCCTTTCAGTCGAACCAAAGAGTCTCAATTACTGTATTATTTACTTCGTGTTTTTATATCCTTAATACAGCTTGCCTTACTATTTACTTAATATTTTATTTCAATTACCTTCAAATGTATTTTAAACTTTATACCATTGTCATAAATGGAAACAGGTGTCACTTTTCATGGAGAGGAGGTAACTGTAAAAGTAAAATTAACTGAAAGCTAAACAATGTTAATTTCAGCTAAATCTACTAAAAGCCATTCTGTCAAACAGGAAGAGTAGCAACTTTAGGGAGTTGTTTTAAAACAAAGTATCAAACTGAGACTCATTCCTTGACATAACCAGGAAGACCAAGAGAGAAATAGAAAGGGCGTTATTCCCTCCATACCACTGAACATTCTTGAAAGCCACAAAGTCCCTGAACCACGTACATCATCCCATGTGAAGCACTGTTCTTCCCAGCAGGAGGAATTCTGCCGTAGGCTATCATGCATTAAGGAAAAAGAGGATTGTTAGTTGGGCATGGTGCACGCTGTAATCCCAGTTACTTAGGAGGCAGAGGCAGGAGGATTGAAAATTTGAGGCCAGCCCAGGCAAAGATATGGAGACCCTGTCTCAAAAACAACAACAACAAAAATAAAAACAAAAGATTGCAGGCAAAGCTCAAGTGGTAGAGCACTTGCTAGAATTTGAGAGGTCCTGGGTTCAATCCCCCAGTACTGCACCAAAAAAAAAAAAGCCCCAAAAATCTGTGCAATTCATAACATACAATTGCATTTAGGAGTGTTCTGAAGCATGGATAATACACTCCTCATCCTTTACAGACCTTATAAATCTTACTGGAATTTTATTTCCAAAGGAAAACTTGCTAACACGAACGGCTCATACATTGATTCAAATATAGTTAACGTTTACTGTACATTTTTCTTTAAATTATTCATTCAACCTTTAATTTAAATTCGGTTTCTACATCTTTTCCTTGTCTAAAATGATTATATCTTCCTAACTAAATGGAATCAAGTTATAATATCTCACTTCAAAGATTTCCTAAAATGTATAAGCTTACTACAGTTCTGGCAGTTTTCAGCGAATGAGAACGTGTCTTTCTACAGCTACTATTTCATCCAGTTTCTGAGAGCTCAAGAACCCTACAAAATGAAGCCTGAAGCTGAGATTTCCTTCAGTTTCAGGGTTGATTCCTATGTCCAAAAAGCAGGATCAGAGATATTTTACACTGATACCACTCATCAGTGCTGACAGCTTTGCACAGGGCTACCTCCTTCTCATAACTCCCAGCCTTCTTGGAAACCAGGTTTTACAGTGTTGTTACTTTTGTAAGAAACAAGATGCCCAAGAATGGACACTCTCTCTCAGGATTATTTGACCTAAAAAGAAAGCTCTTATTTCTTTTGCTCTGGAGAGGCGAGGTAGGAAATAAACCCAATCTAAAAATAAAGTTGGTTTTCTGTCTTATTTATATGTAATTAGAGCCCTTTGTACCTACCACCATTACCACCTCAATAGTTATTGGCTGAATAAATAATACATATTTTTAGATGTGGCAAAACCAAAAAAGAAGTAGTCAGGGCTGCATCTCATTTATCAACTTGGTGATTAAAGGGCTGGCACCAAGACTCCAGACATCTAGGGGCCCAGAGATAAAACATAGCAGTTGGTTGTGTTTTTACTAATGAAGCCAGGGCTTGAAAGATACCAGGCAATTTTAAAGAAAGGCAGCAAGGACAGAAGACATTAGACGAGGCCAACATGGTAATGAAAGGCAAGATCAGTTACTGAGAGAGAAAATAACTTCATTTTCTATGATAATGGTTCTGTGTTCTTTGCAGGGTCTCTTTGCACACTTTATTAGAGTGACTATATGAATGCTACTCACAGTGGAGAAGGAAAGAGCCTTGGAATGTTCCAGAGGGGGCAGAGGGCTCGGGTCTATTATTTTGAAAGGGGGAGGCTGAGAACAATGGTAGCAGAAGGGGTTAGACCGCAGGGTGAGAACAGTGCTGGACAGAATGGGAGGGACGCACAGGGAAAAATCAAGACCAAAGACATAGCAAGGAAAAGATAGAAAAAGGCAAGCAAACATACTCTGGAAATGTAGACATGCTTGAAGGATGACCTGGGACAATGGCACCAGCCCACAGCAGTCAGCAGATCTGCTCAGTAGAGCTGTTGGTTTATTCTACTCAGTGGCTCTTTTTTCAGTGGCCAAACTAAAAGGGCACTGGACACTTGACCCTTCCTTATCTAGCTGCTCAGCAGAAACACTTTCTGCTTAGCAGGGAAGTGTGAGGCATCTTAGAGACAATTCCAGAGTATGTTTAGCTCCCAAAGCTGGAGCACACAAATGTCACATTCCCGTGAGACAATCAACCCAGTGAAAAGAACACCGTCAGAGCCTTCAGCAAGCCCTCGCAACTCTGGTGTCCCAGGAGATGCTGTGCACACGGATGTGACATCACTAAAGCACAACGGCAGGGAATGGGAAAAAAGTGAGATCACGGATTGGTTCAAGTCAAGGGACATCATAATGAATCAGAAAAGGGACAGGACTTATCCAACAGAACGCCATCACCAAGTCATACCACACAGTGGTTTTGGCAAAACAAAAACAGAGGTTTGAAATAAATCATGAACGGTAAACAGAAAGATCATTCAGAGCAAACGGGAAATGAAAATCGTAAAAGTCATGGTAAAAGGACATTCAGCTTGACTTGTTTCAATTTCTCGTAACAACTCATTGGCATTGCCCCAGCAAGCATATCATCACTGATTGTCAAAAGTCAAGTTCAAATTTGACAGGGCAAGGCAAGGAGTGAAGAGCACGAAAACAGTGGTCATGTTAAACACCCATGCAACACCTCTGCCACCATTGTCTGATGACGTGTAGACTGCTTCCAGCTCTGTCAATATCCATAATAAGACCCTAGAGATGAACAATGCTGGATCTTTAAACAATCTGTCAAAGCGTTAATTGGACTTAGAGGAGTCCTCCACTCCTTAGAGGACTTAGTGTCTGGAGAACCCCATGCCACCCCTCTCAGCAAAGTGAAGAGAAAATTACTGCAACCAACAGTGAGATGGTTGACACACTTAATGTTTTCCTGGAAAGACTGTCTTTCCAGAAAATTATAATGGGCAAAAACCAGGTTATTTGAGAACACAGCCAAGACCTGAGGTTCTGAAGCCACACATCACAAATAACAGCCCATGTTGGGGTGCCTGTCAGGCACCTTCTCTTCTGTCCATCCTTTCCCAGGCTGGTAAGGGTAGATATTTTCTAACTTTAAGAAGCTGATGAGACAAAACCTGCTTATCCTATTTTTTCCTCCCTTTAAATAGATTTGGGGCAGGGGATATTAAGAAATGGAAGTCATGGGAAAAATAATAAAATCAGTGAGAAGGACAAGCACCAGAACAAGATAAAAGGGGCTAAGCTTTACATTTTGGGAAGCTGACAGTACAGGAAGTAGGGCACCAGAGGAGAAAAGAAGCAAAGAAAGAGTGAAAAGTTAGTATGGGAATTTGCCCAGACAGTATTCTATCAAAGTAAAGATAAAAATATGTTTTGCAGAAAACTCTGGGAAGAGGGCATGACAGAGACTGTCTTCCAAGGGTCACAGTGGCAGCCTTGCCCTCAAAACTCAAACCCCAGCTTGCATGGAACTCTTGTAAACATATAGAAGTAAACAATGCTGAATGGAGGGAAACAGCTCAGCAACATAACTGGGCTTTTCAGTCTCTGATTTACAAGACTGTTATTTGGACAAGTAAAGGCCTCTTTGGTTGCAGCTGCAGCTGAAGTAGGATGTGTTACCAGAAGCAGCAAACGGCGAGAAAAAGAGATGACATTTCCTGTCTGCAGCCAAGCAAAGAAAGCAAAGGCGAATTTAGGACAGTTCACAGTAGAGCCCCTTTCATTTACTGTGGCTTCCTTTCCGTTTCAAATGCATACAATTCTGCCTGATGAAATAACATATTTTTGTTTTAGCTTTTGTACTGTAAGGGCAAGCCCAGTAGTCTGAGGACCATGACCCTGTTCAGATTCAGCACCATGTGCAAGGGAGAGATGACACCAGCCAGAAAAGATTTTGCACTGCTATTTCTCGATTCACTGATTAACAGGCTTTTACTTCGATTGCCTTTGCCTGCCAAAGCCTGCATGGCATTCCACCACGTTACGGTGGGAAGGGAGCCCCTGCCCCCCACACACACCCGCCCCCAAAAAATCACAGAATGATACTGAGAGGGGTGGAAAGGGTTCTTGAGACCTGTCATCTGCTTTGGGCCAATTCACGTCTCTTCGGGGTGAACATAGCTCCAAGGATGAGTTATTTGTATTGTGTGGTTTCTCCCTGCTCAGGGTATAATTTAGGATCAAGCCCTGCACTATGGTTAGGTTGCAGTCTTTTCTGAGAGGTTTTTAGTCACAGAGCCTTGGAGGTTCCCTAGATGCTGCTAGGATTCAGCTGGAAGCAGTTACACGGTCCTCCCCTGCTTCCCCTCCCTCTCCCCGCAGAGGAAGAGGCAATTCCAAGGCCTTACCCTTCTTGTCCTGATGGTTATGGGAAGACACTGCTCCCAAAGGGTCTGTGCTGCCAGGTGAATCAAGCAGGTTCTTCCAGTCCAGCATGCCTCCCCTAGACTCATGACCCTCTCGAGCCGCCGAGTCTGATGTGGTGGTGCTGGGCAAGAGGGAACTCACGTGCCCTGTTTTCATCACAAATACAGTTAGGGAAAATGTCACTGGACAGACCTGCACTTCTGTTGCTCAGAGGCCAGCAGGTGGGACACCCACAATGGCAGTGAGACTGAGTCCAGAACCCTAGGAATCACAAAGCTTTCTGGTTGTGGTGGTGGGGGGCTGTGCAGCAGAAGGTCCCTTGAACTTGTAATTTGAGAATGAAGGGTCAAATCCTATCTCAGCTGGGTAAGCCCTGGGAATCATTTCACCTGGTCTTGTCTACACAGTGGGGATAATGACACCATTTAGTCTTGAGAGGTGGTGTCACTAGAGTGACATAATGGTGAAAGCATGTAGCACAGTGTCTGATAATTAGAAGCTCAAGAACCTCTACTGTCCTTCTCTGGTGGTCCATGGTAGTATAAATGACAGAATGTGTCTACTCCAGGGACACTGTGACTAATGTGACTGGCGTATGATAGTGGATGGGCCTCACCCATCACCAAGAGCTCAGCTATCCCAAGTCCTTCCCCAGAAGGCTCCAGGGTACATCCAACCCCAGTTGCATCCCAACTTCACAGGCATCCCCATAATGGGAGGAGTTCCTGCTTTCCCAAGGGTAGAGGTCACAACTGCTGTATTATTTATCATTGTTATTATTGTGGCTGTGCCTTTTGTGTCTTATTCCACTAAAGCTGGTTTCATAGTTTTGTGACTCATATTTGTAAGAAATTGTTTTTGAAGCCTTACTACTGACATGACTCACACTAGAAGGTAGAGTTTTGAGATCCTACATTGGATAATGGCAGAGGACCAGGAAGGTTGGGAGTTATGATGAACACATCCGTAAGCTCTGCCTCTCTCATGCTACAGATTAGATGCAGATTGTGTCAGGTGTTCTAATCTAAGTTGTCACATGATTTAAAGAAGCCCCACTACCTGTTCTTTCAGGTAGAAATAAATATAATCTCTCTGTGATTTTTCAAGTGGCATCATTGGCTTATTAAACTTTCTTCCTGATAGCAACCTCTTGAATAATTTTTAGGAAGACATCAGGACAATTACTGCACCTGTGTAATGAGTGGCTTTGGTTCAGAATAACTCCCAAACCTCCAACTTCAGGATTTGATCACCATGAACATTAAAAAACAAAATTCTGGCCACCAGAAAGATAGTTGCTAATGACACATGCCTGCATTCTTCTTTTCACAATTATTATTTCAAGTTGGATTTCTAATATTGTAAGTTATAGACAACATATTTTAAAATAGTTTTTTTTTTGTCTTAAAACTTTGCTTAGCAGGGAAAATAAGCCAAGTGCCTCGAGTGTGCTAGGATGACTTCTCTGGAAGTACCACACTTAAATGCTACCACAAAGCTTTGGTAACATTTACGAAGTCCCTTTCTCTACAGAACTGTGTGTCACCCACATGGATTCAAACATCCGCTTTGTTGAAAATAGTCTGCTTCAGATTCTACCACTAAAAATGTTCATTTAAGACTCAGGGAGTGCTTAATCCTAGTCTTTTTGTTTTATATTTCTCAGTTTCACATCTCAACTTGTCATACTGATAAGAGAACAGAGGCAGGAAAATCAGCCTGAGAAATGGAAAAACAGACTTTCCCTTTTGCTTACATTGAGGTATAAAATATAACTTCTGTTTTCACTCCTGAATTCAATCAAGATGGATTTAACAAAATTTATGGTCAGCCTAAGAGAGAATTCACCACCCAGCATAAGAAAACAATTACACATAGCTTTGTAGGTGGTTAGAAGGAGAAAGGGGTAGAAGGTGGGAGTTAAAAACTCCCATTCAAGTAGCAAGAATTTCTTTTTACCTGAATTGATAGGCATTTTGAGCACTTTCAATTTAACTGTGTTCAAGGGGCAATTTTATGGTAATGCCATAAGTATGGTTTAGGGAGAACATTTCTTAATATGGTAATCTAGGGGAAATGTATGCCTAAGGGACACATTCTCTGTAAAAGATTTCCTGGACCATATGCTGCAGATACACAGGGAACCCATTGGTAATGGAAAGCTATGGCTATGAGGGAAAATTAATGTGGACCAGATGGTGGTTAGGTAGGAAATGTTTCACACAAATGTGAGAAATCAGTTTCTTCTTCCCATCACTCAAGTGTTAGTCTAATGCCCACCACATCTAGATTTTCTCTATGTAAATCTAGAGAAACCATGCATCAGATTTACTCAAAAGATGGGAAAAACAACCCAGAACAGCACGAGGAAGATTGTAGTCTTTGAAACTTATGCTTGAGTTCAGGGAGCAAGTGCCAGTGGTGAATTAAACAATCAAACATAGCAATACCTAGTTTTCGAAAATTTTAGAACCACCACGTGAAAGCAGCATTACACCCTTAAACAGCAGTCCTTAATTTGAAATCAAGATATGTGTTGCTATTACCTTCCCAAGCTGAAAAACAAGTTATAAGGAAATCCTTATATCCTTCTTATAATTTGATTTTAGAGGCTGCATTATTTTTATGCATTGCCAAAGAGACTTTCACCAAAATAATGCTACCAAAAGCCAGCAGTCATTCACGGATATGATATTGTATAGGAATAGATGCAATGCTATAATTTTGTCTTGTCAGTCCAATAGGAAAGGTTACATTTTAATCAGTGGAGTTTATGCAAAAATATTCTTCAAACATAGAGAAAATGGATATATTGAAACAATGATCTTTAGTGCATCGTTCTGTTTCTCTATATCTACAAGTCATTGTAATTCTACAAGTTATTGACACTTTAAATTATTCTAACCTATTAACAATGATCGTAGCCAATTAGACATAAAAAAGAGACACTAAATCAATACAGAGAAGGAACACAATCAGGGCCCAATTTCACTAAAATGGGTTCTTGCGCCTGTGTTGCATAGAGCTTTTGCTAACAGAAAATTTGCATGGTGTATTGAAATGATCCCTTTTCCTGAGGTGGGAAGTTCCGGTTTTGTGGGTTTGCCTTATGGACCTGGTATTTTCCATAAAGGGCAGGACATGCAGAGCACAGAGTTAGAAACAGTGTGGGTGCACTTAGATGTCAGGATTGTTTTCCTCAACTATACTCATGCTCATAAAAATAGCATTTGGCCCCTCCTCTGAAGCTATAAATCTTGTGCTTGGCACACAGAGGGCACTCAATGAGTACTTGCTGAGTGAATTAATTAAATCTCTTTTGGGTTTATTACTTGCAAAACAGGGATTTATTGCAATAGTTTATATTCACATGAAATACATTACATATATGTATATGTCTTTTATACTTCTGTAATACTGCCTGGACCATCACTCTCATTTTGAGGGTCATCCTAACCACATCACACAGCATATATGCAACCTGAAGTGGGTAGGACCCTTAGCTGAAAGGTCAACTCTTCTTCAGTTTCATTACACAAACCATAGATCAAGAGTGAAGGACAATGAATATTGTCTTTAAAGTGTTAATATGGAAGAATTATTAAGCACCTTTCCTTTGGAAAGAAAATAGGATTTGTAGCTTGGAGAGTGACTTTTGTGCATGAAGAACATCTCATGGTTTAATTATTTTGTCCATCTGGGGAATTCTCCGAGTTAAAGCTGGTCTTGGTCCTGTTGATGAATACTGGGGAGGATGCTGCAATTAGTTTCAAGGTCTGAATTTCTCAATCTCTGCAAAGGATTATTTAATTATAGGAAATGATTGCAAAGTTTGATATTGGAAAAGAACAGATGGTCAGTGGGGTGTCGTTCTGAAGGCTTTTGCCTCCTGGGCAATTTTCTTCTAGTCTTCGGTGTTCAATACTCTGCTTTGAATTGCAGATGAGAGATGAATTCTGTGGTTTCATCTGCTCCACCCTGCTCATGACACGAGGGTTGCTGGTCAAGAGAAACTGGGTACAATTTTCCACACTGCACATCCCCAGATTATAAGACAATCTTTAGGACTTCCAGGAAGCTTTTTAATTATGCTAATCAGACACAGGCAATAAAGAGCTACATGGAGCTACTGAGCACGTTTGTGGCCATCTTGAATAATTTCTGTGGATCCTAAAGCCATATTCTTTTCTGTTCTTTCCTTCTCTTTTTTCTTCTTTTCTTTCATTTTTCTCTCCTTTATTACCTGCCCCTGTGTCCAAAGACTGCCTTGTAACTATCGCTTTGTCGCATAAAATAACACACAAACTATAAACGGCTAAACGAGTACTCCCCATTAAAATGCAAAACTTCAACTTTGCCACACGCAGATGTTTTTCAGACCATATTTTAAAAAGCATACGAGTTAATAAGTATTGGAGAGCACTTTGAGAAATGTAAATGGAACAGCAACATTTCAACTCTTCGTTGAAAGAGTTCCCAATATTCTGTTTATGGACTTGGTAGCTTTGTTTAATATACGGCTTGTGTATTTGGGATTGAGAACAATGGGGGTAAATCCTGTTTGCACATCATTTCCACTGCGCCACCCTTCCTTGTGTACAATCTGAAGGAACTGCACTGAAAAAAATGTTCCAATACTCATATTCTTTGTGAGTTTAAGTTTCAATGGCTAATTTCATGCTATATTGGAAAGTTTTGCCTAATAAGAACCTGGTGTCTCTATCCTATGCTGATTTGCCTTTGTGGAGGGCATAACCCTGACAGCCAGCATTCTGGGGGGACAGGATTCAGATGATGGCTGAAGAGCCATCATCTCTTAGTGATGAGCACTATACTTTCATCTTGGATATTCTCATGTCCAAAGCACTTTCCTTTCCCTCAAGAACTCGTTAAATTTATTCACCAAATTCCCTAAGAGTTGGCATATTTCATGCTATACAGATGAAAAATTTAGGACTCAGTCTCCCACATCAACTGTCTCAGATAAGCAGAGTGATTTTTGAAGCACAGTGAAAGGCTTAAATAATTTTAGTGAATTGGGGCCCAGAAGTAACAAGAAATCTGGTCCGTGATGTTTAGGAATGAAAACTATAAACTACCACAGGATAAATGACTTTAAGAATTAAAAAAAATAATTTATATGTATATATCAATAAACTGACCATACACTGTGTTGTAAGACATTTCATGATCTGGTAGAGGAGTTGAAATGTCTATAAAAAATAATGAGGACAAAGAATTAATTAAAAAGAAATGTCAGGTTTGAAAATACTCAAGAGGATTAGTGAAATAGGATTGCTCAGACAGATTTCTACTGATATTAAATTATGACAGTAGTATCTTCCTTACCATTCAGTGCCACGAAGGAATCTGAAAGACAAAAGGAGGAGGTGGTTACTTCCTGTTTCACACTCTGCTTAGTGTGACTTACATAATAGTGGGAATAGCACTTAGAACTATGCCAACATGTGAGCCCCCTAAACTGTGTAAGTGTGGCTGAATTCCTGCCCATAACCTAAGATGCTTTTTCTATCAGCTGATTTTACACTCCAGATCTGTTCCACCAGTGAGTTTACTCCAAATCACTGCCAAGGGGCAGAGAAACCCCAAGAGTTAGCAGAGGAAATGGTCACTGTGATTGTATGTGATTCTGGAAGTCCAAGTCCCCTTTAGCCCAAGGGACCTGCGTGTCAATAAAGCGAGTGATTTCTGGGCCTCACTTCCTTTATGTTCTCTCTTGGTTCAACTTCAAGACCATGTTGGAAGGAAATGTCTACTATCACAGTGTTCTTAACTTAACCCGGGCTCCATTTGGAAACTAAAACAAAAATCCAGACTTATACACTTTTTAGGCACTTATTAGACCACATTTGTAGGTGTGTGCTGGGTGTCTGGATCAGGTCACTGGTTCACATCACCTGCTACTTGGCTTCTTTATGATTTCCTCATTTCCTCTTTATAGAGTCATCGAGCAGCAATGACCTAAGTATATTCTGGACATTGGAGTGTGAACAGGTGTGGCTAACAGAAGAAGGGGGAGGGAGAAGCCCTCAGGCAGGCCACAGGCAGAGGTAAGCAGGGACCCTAAATGTCCCTGTGGAGTGGGGGTAAGGGTTGAGGACACACTAGAAAGCATGGAGGCAGGTTTAGGGCCTCACCACTAAGATTATCCTAGGAAAATAGAGTAAACCACTAGATTGGGACCTGAGGGTCTCAAGATAAGAGTGTCCCTTAGGTTCCTCTGTACGAGATCACACATACATACGGGTGAGAGCTTATTGGGACAGTGGACACTTTACAGACACAGTAACATTCATCTCCACATTCTTCGTATTTCCTGATGCCATCTAATCTACAGGTGCTCATACCACCAGATCATAGCAATAAGATGAAAATGGCTCACAAAAGTCAGCTGATTAAGTGGCTATGGAAACTACCTCCCTCCGAAGTTGTTTCTACAAAAATAAAGCTATACGGCACAAGATGATTATGGCCCAATCAAACTCCAGCCTGTTGCACTGATACGGATGAATGTATAAGTGCAGGGGACATGGACACTTTGATGGAAGCACTAATACTAATTTTTAACTTATAAATTTTGCATGTGAAGACACGATAAATCAGAATTCTTCCAATATATGGTATTTGTAAACAAAAACACCTGGGGTAAAGAATCTGCAGATTTATGATTATATTTGCTCTAAAAAGGTATAAGGTAGAAAGCTGAATGACTCCTTAGTCTAGAATGACTCAAAAGCTTAGTTCTTTCAATGATTTGCATCATGGAATCAAGTTTCAGAAGCCACAGTTTCATTTCCTTAGAAGCAGCGATTTTTTTTTTTTTTTGGTGCTATTTTGAATACAAGCTTCTTGAAATTCAGCATAGAAAATATTTTAAAAAATCACTAATTTTTTTTTCTAAGAGCATAACATTATTCTTTAAATTAGCAATAACAAAGCATTTCCAGAATACTGATATTAAATAAAGACAGAGGACCAAGAGACAAACTTTTGACCAGGATCCTTTATATAAACTTCTAACTAACATGTTACCATTTCATAATGTTTGAAATGAAATGTAAGATTACTATACCGGGACAATTCTTATTAAAAGGTTATTTTAAATCACTTTGTAGGTATGGGTCATTTCTGAAAGAGTTTTTTGTCTCACATGGTAATATACATAAATCTAATTCTGAAAAATAATGAGTTGTGCTAGTCACTGTGTTCAAGAAGAATAAAACAATCCCACTCAATTAAAAAGCTAGAGCCCAGTGATCAATCTTTTTATTATTTGGCTAAAACACAGGGTAATAGCACATTATAGAAAACAAACCAAACCAACAAAACTGTCATTTTTGTAATAGCAATGCTGGTGTAACTTGAGGCTTTGCTATAATTAATATCCCCGGACAGTGAATTTGTTCCAAAGCATTACAATAATGAAATAGGTACCAGCGTTTGTTGCAACAACTGGTTTCGACATGTACTACTTTCTTGATGTTTAAAAGGTGATTTCTGTTGTTTATGCATGTCCCAATGTCAGACGCACTTAATGCCACAGGTGGAATATTTCTAGCCATTTGACAAAAGCATCTTGACCCAAAGACAAAGATGGATAAAAGCTTTACTTACTGTGACAGTCTCCCAGGCCATCCGTATTGCCACGCTCTACGTCCTGCTCGAAACTCAGTCTTTTCCAAAAAGAAGACAGAAACAAATACAATAACATGAATCATTACTCAGGATCCCACCTCACAGTTTCACCAAACAAAGTAACACAGTTTGATAAATGGAGTGACAGGTGCAAAAAAGAAACAGATAAGAGCATGAAAAGTTATCTCTGAAGTTTGTAGAAATGAGCCTATGTGAAGCTCCAAAAAGAATCTTGGGTTTAAGCAGTAAATTCAAATCGTATTCAGGGAGTTAATTGGTTTGTGGATTATTTATGTTCTTTTTTCCTCTGATTCCCTGAGCATTTCTTAGACATTTAAAAAGTTTAAATGTTAAAGTACACTCTTCAAATAAGTAATATAGAAGACTGAAAATTAAAAAGGAGTAAAAATTTTTGCTCTACTTTTGGTTTCACTCCTGCTCTTACTTTCCCGGATCCTTTCCTATTTCTCTGCTTAGCAGACAAACACTCGTATAAACAAGTGTTCACAGGTATGAACACCAGTGTCGATCGAAGTGGGGACTGTGAGGGGCAGCACCTGCTGTGTATTTTGCAAAGACCACCTAGCTAATTTGCAGGCTGGTAGCCCTCCCAATCCTCAGGAACCTTCCTCTCATTCTCCACATGTTCATTTTTCTTATGATCTACTAGGTTTTTAGTGGGCTGTACAAGCAACACAAGATTAACAAGGCCAATTTTACTAACACCTGTTTTAACTTTTAAAACAAGCACATCCAAACTTGTCCAAAGGAATACCGTCCTTCTTTGGGGGAACGTTGTGCTTATATCTGTACTATAATTGAAACTCCAGTTTTATAGCTGCCTTCAGAATTTATTTGAGAACCATAGAAGAAAACCATTTTGGAAGTCACACCTTCTTCTAATAATCCACCATGTTTAGTATCTAATGCCTTTTGCTGCATTAAAAATCAAACTTGTCCTCCAAGGTTAACATTGTTAGTCATAATAAAAGCCAGTGTTTAGCTGAAGCCTACTCTTCAGCAGAGCTCCACGTGTGCTGAGCAATGCCAACACTGAAATATGAAAAGGAACTGTTTTGGAGTTCTGATGCTGATTTAGAAACAGCTCATAAAAGCCTTGCTACCTTTGGTTACTCGTTGAATATAGGAAAAGAGGTAAGTCCATTCTTAGCGGCCCTCACTGTGTTTTGTGATCTTTTCTCCTAAACCCTTAAGATTTCCATGAAAAGATACAAGGCTCTCATACTATAGAGAGTGCTACCTGCCAAGCTGTTCTAATCATGACATTAGTCACATTTCTGAGTGACTCTGTTTATGGGAATACTTGTCCCGAGTTATGTGGGTGGTGGCCATCAGATACGCCCTTCTGTTTGTCTTGCTATTCTAAAATAGGAAAGGAGGCTCAGAGCAATGGCTTTGTTGAAGGAAAGCTCTGTCCCACCATATGGTACCTCACTTAAGTTGCTGCAACCTGTCAGAGACAGACATGCATCGAATATTTTTCCAAATGTTATTCTGGATTTCATACCCACTGAAGTAGAAATGTAAAAAAGACAGCAAGCAAGCAAACTCTTAGCCAATGCCAGGTAATCATTTAAAGTTAGGGCAACAAATTCAAGCACCAAAATCACAGGCCTAGCAGACATGGCGTGAGCTAGCTGATACGTTGGAAAATTGCCAACAACTGATTGTCTGCCTAACAGGTAATAGGGCCCACTATTCTCTGGCACAGGAGAATGTCTTTGTGGGTGTACACACCATGTGTGCAGCATAAATGCATGGCTTAGCAGGTGCTCTGCAAGGTCTGCTCAGCCCTGTACGTTCAATTAGAAGAGTCAGTTTTTCTCTGGCTGGACAAACCACTCACTAACCTAATTGGTATCCTATTGCTCCTTTTCAATACCGTTCTTGCGCTGCGATGAGCAAGGCAGGCACCTTCTTATTCCTCTCTCTAGGGAATACTTTGAAGCCCACTGGGTTTCCTCTCTCTGTGTTTTTAATCATTCTGAAGGTTATTATTCCTTTGGAAACCTGCCACATGTGATGTGGGCGATGCTATGACCTGAGACAGGAAGGAGAACACCCATAGTCCTGCAGCCAGGTTGTGGTGGTGCTCAACCTTCATCTAGAATGTACAGTAACCAAAGGCCACTTTACCCTCCCCCATACCTGGGGCTTCTTACCTGCTGAGGGGTGACAAATGAGCACAGGAATCTCCTTCTTTTACCCACCCACAATATGGGTCTCTGGAGGCGATGCAGGTTCTGCAGGAAGAGGATGACTATGAGCTACTTGGGAGTCTTTTCTAATCACGGTGGACTTTGTAATTGTCATGAACCAAAATACATACTTTTTACACTTCCCATGTCGTTCACATCGGCCAAGGGGAACTTTGATCACACAGGTAGAAAATGCAACATACAGAGAGCCACCTGCTCTGTCCAGCTGCATGCCCATAATTCTTTTGTCTTCCACTCCATCATAGCTGCACCTAGGTTTGTGAGGCAGGATAGTATTATTAATCGATTCTGAGTCAGTTTACTTTGTCCTGCCACCACCTTCTTACCTTACTTCCCAGATCACAAGGAGATCTCTTAATCTGATCTAACTAAAGGTGGAACAGATCCTGTGTACACTCACACACACACACACACACACACACACACACACACACATCTATATAAACACACATTATTGGCAAAGAAAAAATATTTTTATATGTTAAAATATTTTTATAAATGGCATTAAAAGTCACCTAAGATGCATAAAATAACTTAAAAGTCTGACATGATTTTCTCGGAATGAAAAGGCTTAAAAGAGCAAAGCCAGTTATTAACAAGAAACATCAAATATTGCACTCACTTTTCTGGGTTGTAAATGTTCATCTCCTCCAGGAAAAGGCTGTCATTCAGAAAACCACTGTTTCCTACCCGGGCCAAGAACTTCAAGATGATTCCTTTTTCTGATCCCAGGAAAACCACAGTGTGATTCTGATATGGCCCAGCAGCCGTGTCCACTGCAATTTTGGTCAGTCGGTATCTAAAATGACAGCATCACATTTTTTATCCTTTGTTAGGCTATCCTTAAAAGGTCCCCTTTTTCCACTTCAAACAATTGTGACATAGCTTTCTAGTAATAATCTCATGAAAAATAAATGCATAGAAGTAATGCTCTCAAGCTGTTTGGGATCTTTTTTTCCCCCCATATGCAGAACATTAGTATGGCTCCAACAGGGAGGAGGAGGTATGTGCATATGGAGGCCAACTTCCATAATAAATAAACATCCATAACCATCTGAAACCACTCAACCATGATCCCCTCCATGAGCAATAAGGAAAGACTGATGTCTGTTATGAAGAGGATAAGGGATAAGTGGACACATTTAACATCTTTTTTTAAACAATGGCTTCCATTCTCCATACTCTTCCTCTGAGATTCAAAGCCTTCATCAACAAAGATTGGAAAGCCTTCTGATTATAGGCAGAGGGGCTGAGAGGGTCCAAAGGTGGAGGGCACCACTAAAAAATATAAGGACACGCAAGTAAAAACACATTTATGTAACACCAAAGGTAAAGACAAGGCTAGAATTAAGTTCTTCCAATTCCCTCTTTCTCTGACATTCCTTTGGCATTGAACTTTCCATTGATACCTATTTGTCTTAAGCACTATGGCAGGAACCAGAATATATGAGCCCTCCTACAAGTTATATATCATGGTTCCCATGTCAAAAGCAGTCATAATACTTTAATATCTTTCAAATACATTTATTTGTTAAAATAAATTACCATTTCATTCCATAACTGGATGATACTTGGAAAAGCCTGTTGCATTGTTTGAACAGAAGCCCTAATCACAAGAAAGAATATTTAATACCATTGAAGACCACTAATCAGTTATCATTTCTCTGGTACCAAAAACTAAAGTATGAATCCTTCATACTGGTGTACTATCACAGATGTGGTACCCATGCTCTCTGTTGGACAGCAGAGTACAGGGACTCTGCTCAGGTGGAATGTGCTATGTTCCAACCAAATAGGCATCAACATTCCGTTCACTGGATCTCCTTTTCCATTCTTCTATTAATTGCACAGACTGGATTCATGAGCTAACCTGGAAGAAAATATTTTTCTTTCTTCTAATTGCTGGCATGTGTACAGCTAGCCTGAAAATGCTGGAACTCTTCTCATCGGGAATGTGGCTAGGGGGAATATGGAGGCATCCACCCAGCCTGTCGGCATTTCATAGCTGAATCAATGCCCAGACTAGCAGAAGATGTTTGTGGCATTTCAAAGCATGATCCACCGGTGGGTTCTATGAGCACAAGATAAAGTCAAGGAAATCCATTTAGGACATGGTTTGCTTGGCACCTACCTGACCATCGTTCTCAGGAACCAGGGTCTGTTTATGATGGAAGGCACTGCCTCGTCCATGAGGGGATGCGTCTTAACGAAATTCAGGGTGTCGTCAGGGAATTCATTGGAGGTTGCATATTTTTCCAAGGAGGATGAGCCAGCACAGCAACCTGGCCTAAAAGGAAGCACATGGGTGGGAGGGAGAGAGTTTATTTCATGCCTGATGGCAAATTCTTTGAATGAACTGCTTCTCAAAGCATCTGGTACAAAGGAGACTGGACTGCAGGCTGAGAAAGGAAGTTGAATAATGCAGAATGCCACCAAGCACAATATGCTGAGATTTCCTCTGGGCCACCTCCTCATTCCATGTAAAGCAGCATTAGCCACTGTGTTCAGCTTTATCACGGGTCAGCTTTGGCTTCCTTCCAGATGCTCAGACCCTAGTAAACAGCAATGGAGCTTAAAACAAGCGAGTGTATGTGTGGTGTGCACAAATCTTAGGAATGGCTCTACTCATTTGAATACCCTGCTAGAGGTTCATAAAGCTTTAGTTCTACAAAGTCAGGGAATTAAGTTGACGTTTTCACAAGTGTAGTAAACAAAGACACTCTAAGACTCACCAGGTACAAGCTAGCAAGATCCAATGTAACCATTGTTCATTACCTGGGACTCAATATATGGGCTTGCTTTTTATTTTTGTTTTTATTACCTTCCGATTTTAGCAGAAAAGCCAATCCTATTGAAGATTCTTTCCTGAAAGGTCATTTCCTTAAAACTGAACAATGATAGTGAAAATTTGCTTCTACAAGAAATTCCATGGTTTCATGAGTCAAGGGATAGGAAAAGTCAGGATCCTGGCAAAATCAGATCGGAGAACACTGAAAACATGTGTCCAGACGCTCTTTTTCCTTGCTTCTGCAGGAGAGGAAATTGGGCCCTAAGAATATGGGTGAGACTTGCCCCAGACCATGTATCTACTATTTCATGGTGCCAACCCAGTCACTGCTGCAAAGCACCCTGATGTCTGCAAGAAGGGTGAGGCAGGCATGTGGAAACATGTGAGTAAACCCACTGCTGGTAGAGAATCACTTAAAGTATGCATCCTGGGATGACTGAGTGACAGCTTCTCTGCACACCAAAGGAGAGCTTTATTTAAGGGGATCTGAAATCTGATCCCCTTGGATTAATTCCCCTTCCTGCTTATCCAAGAGGTAGATATCCATTCCAGGGGATGATTTAGAGAATCTATCTGAGGTTGCTGGAGTGTGCTGTTCATACTAAGTCTACTTTTCATAAGCAACAGTATGAACACGATAATTCCAGTAATGAAGACAGATGGCCACATGAGTTCTCCACGGAGTAAGGTAGTTCATTGTATCTAAGTTCAATTAAATGCACAGTGGGTGGGGGTGGGGGAGACGAGACGTAGGGAGAGGTAGAAAACAACAACAAAAAACCTAGTAAGCCATTGGGCTTCCTTCCAGAGGCACACAAATTCAGTGGAGATGTTCCATTAAGAGATTGCAAATGCTGTAATGGAGGTGTGGCATGTGTGCCACATACAGCAGGTAGGTTCAAGGTGGGGAGTGGGGACTGAGAGTGCTCCATCCTGTTCCAGTTAGAACTGGTTGTTTTTGGGGGAGAATTTGAAGGAGATTACACAGAAACAAGAAATCTCTGATACTGTCTCTGGGCCATACATTTTCATGGAAACAATTCTAGGGCATGTGAACTCAGAACAGGGTAGAACGTGGCAGACCAGAGACATCTGAATGGTCCACTGTAGCCACTGGACTCTATACAGTTTGGTCACAAAATCCAGGGAGCAGCATTTATATTTCACGTTTCATTAAGGTTTGAAGGTATGGAGCTCTGTAAAATTAGGGAAGTAGGAAGGAAAAGCTGAAAGTATTTCTCCAGCTATGTGAACTTACACATTTTTAACCTCTCTGGGCCTCAGTTTCCCCAACCAATGGGTCTGATTATAGTAGGTAACTCCTAGCACCCTACTATTGCACTGAATGAACCACACACACAGAGGTAAGTAGAAGACTAGAGAGTCGTTGTTCTGTGCGTACTAAAGATAATTCCAGGTTTGGTCAAGGGGATGAAAGCATGTTCTGCTCCAGCACATGGATCATCTACCTGGCTAGCAATCAAAGGAATGGTTATGGTTTGCAGGATGTTCACTCTCAGAGGAGCTAGCCTCACCAATTCTAGAAGCTTTAAACAGACAAAGAAATATTTGCACGTACCTGGGTTTAGGGACTCGCTCGTCAGGAACTGGTGTCCAGGTGGAATCGGGAGACTTCTGTTCTTTGAATCTCCCGGTGAAAACATTGGCTATGTCACACATGTCATAGGCACAGACTGCAGACCCAGGGATGCTGCAACATAGCATGGCACACACAGTGTTACTCACATAGCAGCTATGCCTCGGTTAGAAAACACACTCTGAAGAAGCTCCTTACATAGGCAGTTGGAAGTTAAAGGTTGTACCCTGAACACTACAAAATAAGGGATCCTAATGTACAAAGAGAATGCTTCTGTAAATCAAATTTGCATCAACAGCCTTAAAGAATAGCTCCAGCAAACTCAGAAAGAAAAAAAAAAAACCCTTCACATCTTCATTACCTCTGAAATCACATTTGTTTATAAAGGAAGAACTGAGCTGGTGATAGAAATTTCACAAATTCCCTGATATTGGTTACCAGTCAATAATCCAAAGATAAAAGCCTGTGGAGAATATTCTGCATCTCTAATGTTGAACATTTGTAAGAAAAGTGTTCTCCGCTTCACATATCGCTTCTTTGAGGTTAGTTCTACAAGTCAAGGCTCAGAATGTAAGAATGCTGAGGTGGGGATGGGAGTTAGGGGAGGAGTCACACACATTTTATATTAGGCACTACAACTTTAAATATTTACTTCCTGTTTATTTGCATAAGGCTAAAAAATTTAAGTCTCTAAAACACAAGTACTTTGCAAATAAAGTGTTTATAAAGTGCTAAATAATAATAATGACAGTAATCTCCACCTATAACTACATTCTTGCCTGGCATTCCTGGAAGGACTTAGGCACTTTTTCTAGCAAGGGTGAGAAGGTATGAATTATTCATTCATCTGGGTATACTGTTTATATTTGTATCTATGTTTGGTTTTGACTGTGGTCACTCCTTGATTTTGACCAAATAAATTGTAAGCATCACTGGTTAAGGGTTTTAATCCCACTCAAATAATGGGCCAATACATGGCAGGTACAACCTGGGCAAGAGACCTGGGTGCTCTGCAGTGTGAGAGTGACTTCCAGGAGGAATATTTAGTCTTGAGTTTGCAAATGTTGAAAGGCTATGGAAATTACTTTGTAAGTGATCAGGAGAATTTTATGCTATCTTTAATTTCATAATGCAATTATAGAAGTATTTCTTATAAAGCAAGAGACAGAGAGAGGATTAAAAAGCTTATTTAAAATAAAGTGGCAGCATGAATTTTAAGGTTCTCAATGGATGTGTGTATACATTGTTTACAGAACTGTGTACACAAGACAGTGATTCCCATTTGTCTGGGAATTTCAGAGCCTAACATTATCTATTTAATTTTGTAAGGTTCCCTTCACACCTTCCCTAAATATAACAAGTTTACATAGTTACCTTATATATTTGCTAAAAATCAAAATTTTGTTTGAGAAAAAATATTGCTTGAGAAATTTTATGAGGCATCTCATAATAACTAAAGACAACCTAGGATTTTAAAATCTTTGCAAGGTTAGAATCACTTGTGAAATCTTTCTTCCTTCCCTCCTTGTCCTTCCTTTCACTCCAGTGTTTCTACCTTCTGTTCATTTAGAATGTATTTATGAAATCCCTAGAATAGAGCAGTAAGTGCTCCATCAATACCAGAGACTTGCCTTCAGGTGGATCACAGTTCAGTGTGGAGGCAAATGTGACAATAACTCCAGGACAAGACAGAGAAAGCCATACATAAGAGATGTGCACAAGGCTTCATGGGAGGTGACTTAGCTGATGTGTGCAGCATACATGGGATTTCAGTGGCAGATGCTGGTCTGAGGTAGACCTAGCAGAGAGTGTGGCCCATTCCAGAACCAGACCTTAGCTCTGATAGGCCATGCACAGGCAGTGTGACAGAGGATGGAAGGAGATGAGAAGAGAAAGGCGCCAAACCCTGAGAGGGCTAGAGTGCCATGCCAAAGAACTTGGCTTTTTCCTCAGGGCAAACAGAGACTTCTCAAGGATTGGGAACAATCTGACATAACCAAGTTTGTCTGTGGTGAGGAGGGAGTGGAGAGGGAAACCAGAGAAAGACTGTAATTTACAGATGCAAATGGGTAAGTGTATTTTTAAACTGGGAAATTAGATTACTGTTTTCTGGTCTTATTGAACAAACACAGTTTATGACAGTACTCCAGTATACCAGAAGCAAATATGTCTTAGGGGACACTTTAGAGAGAAAACACTTTGAATGCAGCATCCCTAATAGGCAGGAGCCCACTATGCTATTATAATTACAGAGTTACTCACACTTTTAAAAATCAAAGCAAAAACCCCCAGACTAAAAACATATTCTAGGATTCTACTAACCCTGTATTCCAACATATGAAGACAGTGTGTTTTTTCCAATATGGACAAGCAAGACCTAAATTTTTTTAAATCTATCTTTTCTATCCTCAAATCTGAAAGCCCTACAGCTGGACAAAGCTTACCTAAATCTAGTTGAATATGTCTTGCTGCAGTATAAGCCCACATAGGCATCTATCTTCGATGGGAAACTCTTGACCCTTGCCCTCTGTGTAATTGTGGGATGTGAGTTTATCCTTCCACATATTCTGTGCTAGGCTCTATCCGGTTCCTAGGCATTTCTTTCTAGATGCTATCTTTCAACCTCATCATTTCTGTGCCTGTCTTCTGGGTACTCATCACCTTCTTAAAAGTCTTTGTAAAAAGTATAATCCAAAGCAAACCAGTGTATTCCTAGAGGAAGATATTCCATAGAGAATATCCAAATTCTATGCAATGAGAACAAGGTACATGAATTTAGATTTCATACCATGCCTAGAGTTATGATCTTTTCACATAACAGTGCTAGGACTGAAATCTTATTGGCTTAACAGCCAATGAGTACTAGGGAGGGATGCTAACACTTACTTTCCTTCTATTGTGTAATCTCCAAAAACTTTTACTACTCCAAGAACAACTATTAATGTGTTATTTCAATTATTTAGTCTTAGCTTAAATACAAAAAAAGAAAATGGAATGGGTAGGCTGACACTCAATACTCCTGGGTGCAATGTTTGATGACTTATAAATCCTCACCAGAGCCCTTCAGGCAAATGTTGCTGGGGCTGACAACTTGTTGAGTGAGGTCACCTGAGGGTGACTTTCTCACATGGGCCAATAACCAGACTCCCTCAATGGAATGTTTGATTCATCTGAATCCTAAATTTCACCCTATAGCACTTTAATAAACTTGCAGTGTTTTCTCTTGAAAGGGTACCAATCCAGTCCATGGACATGTTACAAGTCAAATGGAATGTTTATACAAGAGATGTGAGAAACCTCCCTGAGTTCTGAAGCAGCCTCTTCCATTGTGACTACCTAGAGCAGGTCACATAATTTTTTAGCTCAATCTCCTTAAGTGTAAAAAGAGGACAGTAGCATTTGATTTTCAAGATTTCTGCAAGAATTTAGTAATGACACATGGAAAATATTTATATACAGTCATATAAACAGAAGATACTGCTATGATTTATTTATTTCCCCTAAAACCCTAATTTAATAATGCTCATAAATTCCGATTAATTCACTGATGAAAACTCAAGTGTTAAGTTCTTCATAGTACAACTACTGATGGCAATTTTCCATCAGTTGTAAATATTGTGTATTAGAAGAGAATCCCCCAGGGAAAAGAGAGGCAGAAAACCTGACTAGGTCAACACAGGGCTTGGTTACCTATTATAAGGTGTGGAAAAGGTTGCCAGGACAACGTCACGGCCATTAACATGAATCACATCTGTAACGGCTTGGAGTATGTTGAAATAAAAATGAGAGTCTCCAGGAACTGAGCAGTTGAGACGAGCCTTCAGGAAAGATGTCCACTGTTTCTCCAGAACTCTCTGAGACCCTCCCATGTCATTCTTACAAACCTGAGCCACTCTGGGGAAAACGACCTACAGAGAAAGAGTACACAGGGAAAGGAAATGCAGTCATTTTGTGAGAAGATCTTAGTAGAATTTGCCTTCCCTGGGCAACAGAAACAGAAAAACAAGGTACTTAATTTAATATTGTGTTTCTAAAATCAGTACAAAAAAAAAGAAGAAGAAGAAAACTCAACATTGGAACAGCATGTTTTAAAAGATAAGGCTGTAGCATTTAATACAGAGCCATAAATCCTTCAGGGGATCAGCTCCCAGCCACATAAACTCATTTCCATACAGACTGCTTAGCTTTTGATTTCCTCAAACAAAAGCACACTTTGTATGCTGCATCTCTGCCATCCTCGCTGGCTGCCTCTGGGGCTTGAATCTCATAGTTGGAGTGGGAGTTCCTCTAGCTGTGTAGCCACCCCCACACTTTATTGGTGCTCTTCAACTTAATGACCTTGATCTACTCTCTGGTAAAAATAACTGAAGTAGACACAGCCCCTAACTATTCTATTGCTTTTTTTTTGCCATAAAGACAAAAATCAAGACTCGGTTTGCTTAAAGATGCTAGATACTTATTCTCTCTGTGGAGTTACTCAATTAAAAAGGAAAACTGTACCTGGAAGTCACATCTCAAGACACTTGGGATTCAGAATGAGAGTGACAAACATCTGTTGGCTAGATTTTCCATAGAAATATGTGAGCAGTTCCCTGTAATTTGTTATTCTTCTGAGAATTCCCATAGGGCTTCCAGACAGCACTTTCACCAATTGTGGACTGATTGTCACTAGGTTTATGGTTTTCACTTCAAGGTCATTCATAACCACATTGGTTCAAAAGTGGGCATCTAAAAATGTCACAACAGTAGCTTGGGACATCCTCCCCTTACCTTTCCCATGGTGTTGTATTCCACTGCGATTTCCCTGAAGAAGAAGTAGATATGGTCTCCGTAGTCCACTGCTTGGACAAAGTATGGTTCTGTGGACAAATAGGCACTTTAATTGGAGATATGTCACACAGTGTTAAGAGAATTTCAATCAAGTGTAGCCAAAGACATGTTATTAATTGAAAATGTAGGGCTACAGGACATTTGGTTAACACTAACCATCGCTAATGACTTCACACAGCAAGTGCTAGTGATTTTGGAAGGCAGTCGAGCCTACAAATGGTTTCTTTCACAAGCTTTGCAATCAACATGGGTGAATAAGTGAGTTTTGCAAATCTCTGTAATTTTATCTTCCACAACGGAATGTCCATGTTACAGAGAGGATTTTGTACACATTGCCTTGTCACTCTGACTCATACAGGGTTGTGAATAGCTTCTTTCCTATTCCCACCACCTCTAATTCCCTGTTCTCTTTCCTGAATTTGAGTGTCTGAAATGAGAGTTGGAGGCAGGGAGAGATGAATGTGCTATATCTGACTGTTGTGGCACTGGTAGTTTTGTTAATATTCCAGAAACTCAGGGGAAGGGAAAAAGAAAGGTAAATAAGTCAGTGGGGCAAAAGATGCAATTTATATGGTTTTGTCTGTCAGAAAACATTACTAAAAGGAAGGTATAGGCTGGTCTATCCAGACTCTAAATCTCCCCAAAGGTAGGAATTTCTTCCCCTCTTCCCACTAGCTTCTTTTTTTTTTTTAATGGTTCACCTTTTAACCATTTTGAATCATGCTTGACCGTCCTCAGGGTTGGGCTGTCTCCAAGACTTCTGTAAATGACAGCATCAATGGCAAGGAAGTCAGTCACTGTGGCCGAGTAGAGTTTTCCATCTTGGAAGAAAAGGAAAAGAGGTGAACAGGGTACAAGTGGGGAATAATACAGACATCCCCTAGATTGCTTTCCAACATTGGCAAATGAGATAGGACAACTGGGAAAAATCCCAGAATTGCTAGGAAAATACTTGGGCCATATTCCTAACCATTTTAAATTGGGATCATGAGAGATGAAACATTTTTCATTTTAAAATCACATGGCAATTTTTCTAAGCAGCAGCAGCAGCTCAGGAAACAGAGTAAATGAAAAATGTTGTTTGCTTCACTTGATTAGATGGACCCTGACTGAAATCTCAAGGCCAAGGACCCTTGGACACTGCTACTATAACCACACCATAGTAAACAGGATTAGGTAGGAGCCCAGGGAAAGACAGAAGCTGATTTTATCACCAGAAATTTCAAGTCCATGAAGAAGTGAGGGCACCCTGAGCCTAAGCAGGTGAGAGGAGTGGACTAAAGCATTACTTCTATTTTGAGTCACAGCTCCTTTTTATCTCAGACATGAGACTTCATTAAGCCCTGCCAATCTAGCTTAAAGAACGGATATTTGCTTCAGGATTCCAAAGTCACAAACTGAAAAGATTCTGATATACGAGATACCAGAGCAAAGAAGAAAAGGGAGGAGGCAAAGCTGAACTGAAACTAGTCATTCTTTAAGGATTCACGCTTTGGGGGAGATACCTTTGATGTACATCCAAGACAAAAGAGAATGAAAAAGATAGAAGATTAGTGCCTAAAACTTTTGGTTCTTTCCTGGATAAATAAACATTCTGCAAACAAATAGTCAAACGTGATATCCTACAATAGCAAAAACTATGTAGACTAAATGGAAATGATAATTATATCCAAAGTCAAAAATTACTTCTTCAATTCATTTTTAAAGGATTACATATCCATTAATTATATGTCAAAGTGACATGTGCAATATAGTACTCTAAGTTCTTCCATATATAGGTATTTAGGTTTTATTTTTTAAAAGCTATCCAAATATACCTAAATAAACACCTTGATGTCTACCATTGGTTGTAAAACAACAGAAATTTGGTCAGATTTAATTTGGAACTATTTTAATACCTGCATTATTCTCTCTCTCTCTCTCTCTCTCTCTATATATATATATATATATAAAATTTTTTTTTTGCGGTGCTGGGGCTTGAACATAGGGCCTATTCACTCTTCTAACCCTTTTTTGTGATGAGTTTTTTTGAGGGGGGGGTTTCTTGAACTATTTGTCCATGCTGGCATCCATCCACGATCTTCCTGATTTTTGCCTCCTGAGTATTTAGGATTACAGGCGTGAGCCATCAGCATCCAGCTGGTTAACAGCTGTATATTAAAAAGTGTTGACTTTTTGGGAGGATTTGAACTGCAGGCAGCAAACCTTTCCACTAATAATCACATCTCTACAAATTACGACTTTTCTCCTGGATTATCTGTTCTATATTCTTATAGTCCTGAATCACACAGATATACTTGGGTAGAAGGGAACACTGAGGGGTGGGAGCCATGGTGATGGTGATTCCTCCTCTCTGTTTTATACCTAACATTGTTACATCTCACCAGAACTTTATTTACAAAGCAGAACATTATTCTACCATTCTCAGTACTGACAGCAGTTGCAATGAGGGTCTTCCACTAGTAAGGGCTGAGCTTCTGTGAGATCTTAAACATTTCAATGAAAAACTATCCGAATGTACCAACTGAGGAGGGAAGACCATAGTATTATCTCATATGGCTTGCTCTTCATAGTTCTTCGAAGCTTAGTGGCCTTTGTAACGACTCAGCCCATTCGCTCCTTCCTACCTCAGGCTACAGACAGCACTCTTTTCAGTTTCTAGTTAATCTCTGTTGCAGCACAAATGCTCCAAATCCCCAACTTCTGCAGGCTGTAACTGTCATAGAGGTGTGCCAGCAGCAGTCATGCACCTGGGAATGCGTTCAGGCACTCTTGTCCTGGTCTGAAGTGGGCCTGCAAGACTGTGTTAATACTGTGCTCGCTTCTTAGAAAGAGAACCCCAGAAACCTTCTGGTTCTCCAGTGTGACACCACATATTGAGGCCCACTAATGGGTGACACAGAGAAGGAGCTAAGGGATAGTCTTGTTTCATAATCAGAGCCCTACTGTCCCTCATCCAGCTAGGATGTGCCAGTTTCTAGCTGTTGTGATGGAAATTATAGCAAACTGCTTTGTTACATGCTATAACAATCACTGTGATACAAACACTTCTCTCTCCACCCACCTCCACATACACAGCTGGCAATGAATTCCTAAGTAAATTCCTGATTAAAACACACTCACACACAAAAATCTCACCAAATCTGAAAATGATGGCTTATAAGCTACTTGTTTGTAACCTTTGCGGGAGAAGGAAGGGGTGGAGCTGGGAAGCATGGGTCCTCTAAGGTCTCAGTTTCACACCCCCTCAGTCACTATGACCTTTTGGTCAGAGGTAGCATGCAACCTAATCAGACTGAACATTTGAGATGTTTGCTGGAAGCTTGTGGGTGTGGGCCTCACTGCTCTGAGTAAGCTTCTAGAAACTTCTGTGTCTTTCACTTTCCTTTCTAGGTATAAATAAGAAAACATATAGATTTAGTGGGGCCTTATAGCCAATCTCTGGCTGTGAAAGAAGCAGTGTTATAAGGAACATAGTGTGACAGGGGAACGACACCTGTAGAAAGTTGCTGTTGAGTCAAACCAACCCAAAGTCTACCTAGGTCAAGTACCGAGTCCACACTGGTGGCTGGGGGGCAGATTTTCTATTATTTGAGCCATTGCTATATCCTTTCCTGAAGGTGCAAAAGCCAGGGCAAGTGCGGCCAAGACTTCTTTTGAGAAACAAAACTACAATTTCCCGACTAATTTGAGATGGAAAAGGCATTCTTCATTACATTATTCACCAGAGACTCGAAGTACAACTGTGACTCTGCAACCCTCCAGAGCAGTTTCTCAGCAACAGGCTGCTACACACAAAAGCAAATGTAATGAGGGGAAATTTGGTGGTTTACCTGCAAACAGTGCAACGTTGGCATGCTTGGCATCATAAGGGCATCTGGCCATTCCACTAAACTCGTCCCCAAAAGGTTCCAAAGTATCGATCTAAAGGAAATGATAGGACTGAATTACAAACAACTACCAACAATAGTAATGGCAACCAATACTTATAAAGCACTTACTGTACAAAGTAATCCCCACACACTTGCAAATAATCTGTACGAATACTCTCTGAGGTAAACCTATTGGCTTCAGATGAGCAAATTGAGATATGTCACTTGACTAAGGTTCTATAGTTAGGAGAGTATGAAATTCAGTCACGTCTGCTTGATTCTCTACCATAAACAGAGTCCATGTCCTCATAAAATGTTCTAGAAATAACCATTCTAAACCAACAAAATTCTAAAACACCCACTGGGAAACTCTCCCTGCCCAATTATCTGTTGAACTGTGAATTCTGTAGAGCAGGATCTTAGTTTCTGGATTTGTTTTCCCTGACAAACAAACCTTACCTTTGTGAGTTAAATAAATCCCAGTAAAAGACATTTGAATTTACCTCAGGTTAGCTGACAAATAGAGGAGGATCAGAAAGGTGAAAAATGTGGGTGCAGGTAGAACCCAGGTGGCCTCTGCACCTACTTTAGTATCATGGGATGCAACTTTGGAAGTAACTTAGAAATAATAATCATGAGTATCTGGAAAATGGAGGCCCACAAGGTGACGCCTCATGCTGCTATTTGAGGTCTGCCCCCAGTGCCCTGCCCGTGAGTTGTTTGACCAAATTTGGAGGGAAGGTAGAGAGAGAGAGAGAGAGAGAAAGAGAGAGAGAAACCTGAGCCCCAACTTTATAGTTTCACAAGAAAACCTGGTAAGTTGCTTTTTTCTTTGAACAAGTGGAAAAGTCAGCTCAAGGCTCTTACCCAAGTGGCTATTACTCCCTGTGTCACTCTGCAGGTAATACACAAACGCCTGACCCCACAGGCATTTGTGAATGTGGTAAAGCCTCATTAGTTATTCACCAAACTCGTTTCCTCTTCCTCTGGATCACACTAAGTACATTTTCCTTGCAGCCAGTGTGGTCATGTGACTGTGCCGATGGAAGGTGAGCATAAGGCTGTACGCCACTAACCAGCCTTGCCTTGAAAACCTCTCTGTGTCTGCATTTTGCTCTTTCCATTGTTCTTCACCAGATATGGGGATTCCAGGATCCCAGGAGATGGCAGAGGCATGAGCGGGAAGGGGCCTGTCCTTCTGAACAGCCTCATGGGACAGACCCATCTCACTGACTCACACTTGACTATGAGGTGAGTTTGGTTGCCTTGACAGCTGACATGGCAGCTCCTGCTTTAACCATGCCTACTTCATCCTTACTCGATGGGGTCTTCCTGGCATGTGAAATGTCAGCACACTGAGTCCATAAGATGAGCACCCTATCATTAGTGCTTTTACACTCATTTGTGGTTCAGTCCTCCTTAGAGTTTAAGGATATTTTGTTTATCATCTGGGAGTGGCAGTTTGACTGCAGATATGAAGACTGAAAGAAAGATAAACCTAAACTAGCACTGGGACTGGGGAGGCATTCACAGACAGGCTGTTAGCAGAGCTTCAAGCTGCCCAAAATCAAGGTGTGTAAGGTTGCTGCTCAGGAGGAAAGAACAAGGGTCTCAATTAACAGTGCCATTCAGTCAGTTGTGCCTTCTGCCCTAAAGTCCCATTTCAGGGATGGGACAGACTTTCCCTATGTCTAACTCCCACGGAAGCCATCCTAGGATTTTAAACTATAGTTGAGATCACACAAAACATAACTGTGCTTAAAACACAACTGCTGTTAAGGGAGAGGCAAATCAGACATCCTTCCCCGAGCATGTTTTTTGTGAAAGTTGTTTCCAGTCTATGGCCATACCACCCTGAATGTGCCCGATCTCCTCTGAAAGTTGTTTCCATATACTATATCCCAACAAGAACTTTCTGTTGAACTATGACAGTCTTTGTGGTCAGTGGATCTGGCAAGTATTCAGAAATGGTGCTTAGCATACGATGATGCAACGCAAGTGCCCTTATCCCAAGTGGTGCATGCACTAATCCTGACAATGGAGAGGCAAAATACAAGGTGATATGGTTTTTTTTACAAAAATGTACCTACTCCTAAAACATGGGGTTCAGTTATGGATGGTCAAAGGCAGAATGCTGGAAAGTATTAACGTACTAGTTTGTGATTTAGGAATATCCAGAGACAAAACAATGTCATGGTGAAATGCACTTTCCATGAAGTAAGAACTAATCCTGGTAGTAGTCATCAAACCTCTAATTTAATGACAGCCCTGGAGAAATTAAATCCCCATAGGGTACAGATAATAATAAAAAGAACTGGCCTGGCTTTTGCAGAAAATTCATGAGTACAGGAGTGTGTGGAGTGTGGCTTTAGATATATAGTGGCAGCTTTTAAATTCTTCCCCAGATAATCTTATTGGGGGCTATAATCTTTCTAACATGTTCTGCTTCCTTTTCTTTTAATAAAAATTGTATAACTCAGGACACAAGGCAGAGGCAGAGACTGAAAAGTTGTCATTCTCTTGCTTCAAGTTACTCTAATAAATCTGATGCTTCCTTCTGTACTATGATGAAATGAGTTTTTCGATGGAAGCCTGGTCATCATTTTCATCCTGAGTCTGTGATCCTGATCTGTTGATAAAAAGCACTTAAGAGGGAGGTTGTCATTCTCTCTACAGCCAAATATGTTCTCTCCCACATCATCTACAAAGTCATGCTGTGCACTGAGTGAAAAAAGAACTCCTCTGAGCAACTGCTGTTTTCAGTGACAGGCATAGCGAAGGAAGCATGTGAACAACATTCCAGGTGTAGCTTCTGAGAGGCCCAGGCTCCTGAACCATGTCTCTGCAGGTGTGGCTACAATGCATGAGAAGTGAAGGCATCAATGAAGGTGAAGCACTGTGGGAAACAGAACACGCATAGGAAGAATGACTTGGACCACTTGTGGCCTGTGTATCACAGTGCCAAGAAAACCTGTAATCTGTCATGAAAGATAGCTTCCCAGCTAGGGAATTCCTTGGGATGTGTGAGAAGCATTCATCTTAATGAGTCCTAAACAATGACAAATAGGGAAGGAATATTAAGTGGGAGAACTGAAGTTAAGTCTCCAGCTGTGTGTTGTTACTGGCTACAGGAAGTATTGGGGTAGATGGGTTACCTCTATTATAAACAGATAAATCTTGTCATTATTTTAAAATTTAATCTTTTGTTCAGGATAGACTTTTTTGTACTAATTTTGATTTTTAAAAATGTTGCATGAAAATAATCAAGTTGATCTTAGTGACTGTATTTTGCAGGGGATCCTTATGTGAGGGAGGATGAAATGAGTTTTTTCGGTTAGTACCTAAGCTGAGTACCTCACTTGCCTTCCCCTAAATTTGGCCCACTGGTGCCAGTTTCCAACCAAAAGATGGAAAAGGTAACAGATCTCCCGTCTATGCTTCTGCCAAAAAAAAAGATAGCTTTTTGTTGTTGTTGGTTTTTCTGATAAGCCTAGTGATTGTGATTCCACCCTGTCCTTGCTTTTCTCATTCTTCACACATGATGGCTGGACTTCATGAGGTGGAACTCAAATCTATATTTGCCCCACATCTCTTCTTAAGCAAGCCTTTCATTCATCCATCTTCTTGCTAGAGATCTCCATCCATATGTGCCTCCCGGGCCTTGTCCTCTTGCACAATCATAATGGGCAGAGCAGAGCACCTGTCTTTCTACTCCACCTCACTGTACCTCTAATTCCCTGGCTAGAATGGTGGCAGCCCAATTTGTTCACGCTCCAAGGAATGGCCAACAGGCATTGTTGACTCCTCTATTCCTTCTTGACTTGTGGTCCTTATAACTATTAGCACCTCCCCCCTTTGTCACTTATGTATTTCCTTCATCTTTCTCTTCCCTTCATCCCTGCGGCCACCTACCTCTCCAGTCTCTTTCTCTTATCACTTGACCTTGCATGGTCCTGAAATTCAGAACCAGATGCAGTTTCTCAGGCTCACAGGGTACTCCTCATACCTTGCCTTTGTCCATGCTGTTCCCTACCCACGATACCCTTCTCTTTCATTTGGCTAACTTCTAACTGTCCTTTAAGACACAGGTCAGGCATGACCACATTCATGGTTTATTCCATAAAAACGAGTTAAATACCTGTTTGGGGAGGCCCTAGGCTAGGTTCTGGACAATCATGGATGTGCCTCTGAAGCCCCTGGTTCCTTACAGCCAGGGGCATTCATGCTCCAGGTATGAGAACAGCTGGTGAGAACTTTGAAGAAAGAAGGGAAATTATGTACTCCTTCTACAAATTCCTCCACACTTCATCTCAGCTGTGGTTAAGAACTTTTGTGCAGCGCCTCCATACTTCTCTGAATAATGTCACCTGGCAGCCAACTCATGGAGGTGTAGTTTTCTTCTCCCTGCCTAAGGTGGAGGCCTCCTCTCTGTCTTTACAACCTCAGTGGGAAGTCAATGCATGCTTTCTGACTGGGGCAGAAAGAAGAGATAAGAAAAGCTAACAGAGCAGAGCCAAGGCTGCAGGCCACCAGACTTCTGCTCCTTCAGCTCCTGACCTCCCAGCTTCCACAGCAGGCCTCCATCAGCTGAATCCAGGCCAACTACATTTACTAACTCTTTGAGAACTGATTTTTTTTTTCCCCTTCTGTGAAGGCCACGGTCAAGTAAGCTGAGTGCTAAATGGAATAAAATTCCCATGGTCTTGAAAATCTTACCAAGAGGAAAGTCTATAGTTTCAAACAGCATGCTTTGAGATATCTTTTAGAAGAGAAATCCCTCAATTAAGTGTGTTTGTATGCTCAGAGGGGAGGTACTGGGGTGGAAGGGAGAAAGAAAGAGAGAGAGGAAATCCATGTGGTATTACCACGTTGTATGTATTCTGCTCTTCTGAACAATAAAGAATAGAGTCTTACAGAAACTACCTTTGCTGGGTAGGCTCTTTAAAGATGTGTCAGTCAATCCTGAACAAACAGGAAGCTTAGAAGCCTGCTCAGGATCACTCATTGGGAGCCGTACATTAGGTTGAATAAGTGAGAGGAGCCCAGGTGGTGTTGAATTTCCACCCCCCCTAGGTTGCTGCAGGAACACCCACAGTAAATTATGAAATCCTCCTGGTGGTGAGTTTCCAACAGACAAATGGCCTCACCTTGTAGTTTCTACAGGAAGGGTTGAAGGCATTGGTTCCACAGACAAATAACGTGTCATCGTTTTTCTTGAGAAGGACTTTAATAAAGTTGTGGCACTCATCCTGAAAAATAATTCAAACTGTTTTTTATTGAGTTCATTGAATATGGCCCATTCATCACCAAATACTGTGATCTGCCAACGGGAAGTGTAAAGTGAAGATGGCTGAGGAGTTCCCTGTTCAGTGTTTGAGTTGTTTCTGATGTTTCCCCAAAAGATGATGTCAACAACTACTGTTTCAACAGTAAATAAAAACACGGTAGACAATGGAAGAGTATGCGTGTTTTTTATGTCACAGAAGGAAAGCAAGTTGGAAATGCCAGCCTCCTGTCATAGTAATTTTAATGCCAGATGCTCCAGAGTCCCTTGACATACAGACTTCTGATGGAAGTATGTTTTTATGTTATATGACCACAGGCACAAAAGCCTCCATGTATGTGGCAGCATTTTATGAGTGCTGCCCCAGACTTCCAGCGGACCGTAGCCTGGGAGGTGGGCCATGGGACCCAGCACTCAGCAGACTTGAGCAGCCAGCTTTGTGTCCCTAATCCTGACTGCACCTAAGTCCTAGCAGCTGTCGTAATGTTTCATCACATTAAAAGCAAACTATTTTTGCAAATTAAAGCCTTCAATAAGTTGATGGAAAAAGCAATTACTGGGAAAGAGGGAATAGCATGATGCATTCTGCATCAGAGATAACCGTCAAAAACTTAACCCAAAGTGGCAGCCCAGGAGAAATGAAAATTGCCTACCTTATGTTTCCCCTTCATTCTGCACGTGTCGACATCAGCCTGTCTAGATTTCCACGTCAGTTTCTGCAGGGATCAAGAAAGAAATCAATTAGAGCCCAGAGGTTGTTGCACTGGATTTTAGAAGTAAGAGCTCCCATGGGGAGAGGAGAGGTTGGATTTCTCGAAAGCTTTCCACACCCTTTCTCCATGATTAATTCACCATAACAACGAAAGATTAGAGATGGAAACACTCATTTAATTTTGAACTCTTATCTATCCATTAAATACAAAATGGTCTTCTCTTTGAGATAAAGGAGAAAAGGAAGAATAAACAGCATGGTGATTTCATATAAAATGCCCAAGTTAACTTGCTAAATTATGATAAAATACATGTCCCTGACCCTTTCCTTTCAGTTGATAAATTGATTTTCTTAAGGAAAGCTTTTTTCCTTGAAATATAGAGGTTACTTTCTTAAACATAAAGGGGACATTCACCTGAGGTGGACACTGATTTAATTCAGGTTAAGCCCTTCACATAAATTAAATGGCAAAGGGATGTTGGTTTATTAACTAACACACCTCCACGTAGAGTTCTGAGGAACTCGTAAGTTAGACTTTCTGTCTGCAATAGAGAATGAGCAAATTCCCGAAACTGTCAAATCACACCCCACGTTGCCTGGTGGAGAAATGTTAACAGTGAAGTATGTGTAGAAGAGATCTAGGGGACACATTTTTACCTAGGAAAATCAATATTTTCCTGGGAGAAAACATGGCAATATTTTATTGTAGGATTTTTAGAAATTGCCAAAAACCGCAAAATGAATATTCATGGATCACTGAATAAAATATGAAGTACCTGCTTCTTAACATGTATGGAACCCTACCCTACCCCCAAATTACCTAACAGGTGTGTTAGCATTTCCAAATTAGTATTAGGCACATCATCTTGAATACTGCATTTAAAATACATATTCTCTCCAAAAACTATCCTAAGGCCTCCATTTTAGAAAGATGGTTTTAAAACAACTTACTTTGCTACAATAAATTTCCTCTGTGTGAGATGTGTCTATATCAACAGTATAAATATGGTCCCTGTAAACAAAGAAAAATTAAGGCAAGGTCAAACACAAGAGTCAAGACAGTTCCTTTTCTGATGAATGAGTTACAGCTCATTCAGTGCAGATTAGCCTATAACCATGTTTTTCAAAACCCAATTCTGGCTATCCACATGCCAGAAAAAGGAAAGAGCTCTCAGCTGAGCTTGAGAACTCTGAAGGTTGAATTGTTACAAAGACTGGATGCAGATGGGTTCCCATGCCAGGTCAGGATCTGCAAATCCACGATATTCAACATATCACGTGTGGTCCTCAAAGAGGCCAACAAAGCTAATCTCCCGCTCTGTCTCTTTTAGAAAATATGTTCTCACTCTTATCTCTGATAGTTTGATTGACAAGATGAGGATGATGAAGGTAAAATTATTTCCAGAAGCCACCCTTTTCTTCACAACACAATGGTCAATTAAAGTCTTAAGTGGACTAGAGCTGAAGTTTAGTCTTCTTGCTTAGGTTCGCCCTCCTGTTTTCCTGAAGCTTCTGCTTGCTGCCAATCCCCCCTTGGAAGGGGAGAAACAGAATCAGCAGCTCAGGTATGGGGCTATATTTAAACATCCCCTTATGTGTGAAGCAGAGTACAAGGGTGTTTTTGTCTGGAATTCAGAAAAAAGAGAAGAAAAGAACTACACTCAACAGAGGAGATGGGGGGTTAGCGAGGGAAAGCCAAACAGCTCATTTTCCCTTGAAATAACATTGACTTTTTTTTAAATGCAGGAAGTCCTGGGGCTAGAAAATTATCCACAGCTTTAAACCAGGACCTCAGGGTTCCTGCAGACTTTCAAGCCCCCTCATTGCTAAAAAGGAAGTGGGGGGCGGGGGGGGGGTGAAGAGGAAGAAAAGCAAGAAAGGAATCATTCGCAGGATGAATATATATATTCAGTTCTTGGGAAATCTGTTTGCTCCTGCTTTGGGGGAAAACACAACAGAGACAAATAAAAATAAAAGCAGACTTCTCGTGTGAAAATAGAAGGAGAGGGCATGGCTGTTGTCCTACAAAATTCCTTGCCTGCTACTGAATTGTCTTTAAAGGGGTGTGTGTGTGTGTGTGTGAGTGAGAGAGAGAGAGAAAAAGAGAGAGAGGGTAAGAGAGAGAGAAAAGAAGGAGGAGAAGAAGGATGGGAGGAGGAGGAGGAGAAGGAAAGGGAGGGGGAGGGAAGGAGAGAAGAGAGATGAGAAAGACAGGGAGTGGAGGGTGGTAGCGGGAGAAGGAGGAGCCTATTTTGTGGACTGCTGCATTGGGAAGCTCTTTCAAACTTCAGTGGGGTGCCAGAATCACTCTGCCCTTTAATTTTAAGGCAGTTTATTGCATTCGTTTATTACTTGTTTGACTTTATAGAGGTGCTGTGTTCAGGCACATTATTGGACTGGAATTACCTGTGACTTTGCTATCAGTTTGAGATGACTCTTGGCTTTTCTTTGCCCTGCCTCTCCTCAAACTTACATAGGAGCTGAATATATGAATTGTAAATTAACAACTGATTAATATGCATTGGCAAGTCCTCAGAAAGCTCTTAGATTGCCCCCTTTTGGCATGGCCTGTTTATGTTAATTAGTAGTTTAGAGATTACAAAGAAAGAAGAATTTACAAAGTGGATAATATAATAAAAAAGAATTGGACGGGTTCTTGCCACCAAGTCCCACTTAGTCCCCAGGGTTCTGGATGAGACATGGCTTTTGATTGCTGACACCAATTGTCTGGAAGAACTGGGAAACCTTTTAAAAACAATTCTGTGAATGGAATCCCCTTTTGGACATGGCAGTCTCTTTCAATATCTGAAAAATCACATGGCCCCAGCAAATAGAAACAGCACTTTATGGTCGGCCATAGTCCAAGGTCAGGGGTCATTTCCAACCACCATGTGTGCATCCCAGGATTCATACGATGTTCTTCCTGAATTTAGTTATTTGAACATAAACTGACTTAATCCTAGGACTTCCTCTTCCCTCTTCACTGAGCTCCACTGGATTCTGTTGCCATGCTTGAGCCTACGGGAAGGATTTAACTTCAAATCATGTTAACTTGCTGCCTAGGAACCTGGATCTCTCAGAGCAGTGTTGGGAAATGTGGAATAAAAAGGTGAAGCTCTAAGTATGGCAGTCATGGAACTCCTTTGGGAATTTTTCTAAAAGTGTGTACTGAAGGGAAGTGGCTGCGTATGGAGTGAAAGCCAACACATCAATGCTAGCATGTTACAAACTCAACCTTTAATGAAAGGTGAGTCTGTTTCATAGTTGTCAAAAAGGAGGGTTTTCTTTTCTTTCTTTTCTTTTCCTTTCTTTTATCTCTCTTTTTCCCTCCCTCTTCCTCCCCTTGGGTGGGGAGTTCAGATGAAACTGTCTAGATTTTGATGAACTGGAATAAGGTGTACTTTTAAGTTTGCATAGCACCTGGGTCCCGACACTGGTGTTGACCTGGGTCTGCAGCCCACACCTACACTAAATCATCAGGTACAAGGCCTGTCTGCTATGCTGTTTCTGTTCCCAGAGCCTTGATTGCAAAGTGAACAATTCATAGAAGATTCCATTGGGTCTCACAAACCCATTGTTTAATCATTTGTTTGGATCAGCCTTTAGATCATTGGGTACAAATGAAATCATCTAGCCTTGCTACATTTGGGAAGTTAAGAATGATATTTAAGAAAGAGCTGCTATGCTACCAGAAAGGTGGGTACTGAGACCTCACTGGAATGTGTCATAATGAATGCCACAGTGACTCTGCTCTTGGGCAACAGCTATTAGAAGGTAATTATCAGGACAAATAGTCCACATCTGTCCACAGTAAGCAGCCTAGTACAGGGAGTGGCAGTGTTACCTTCAGAGCAAAGCCACCATGCTTCAAAGCCTGCTTCTATCACTGGGTCCAGTCTTTGCACCTTGGAAAAACCCCTATTATTCTTCCTGTAAGACATGTGGAAATAGTAGCTCCTTCTCAAAGTTCTTTCCAGCACTGAACAAGTTGACACTGATAAAGAACTTACAACCGTATTAGTAACTTACATGCACATTAGTGCTGTATATTTTTGAAGTTAAATATTTTTTAAAGTTCCTATATTTTTAGCATTGCTTCTCTTGAACAAATCTGGGTTTTTCTCAGGATACTTTAATCGTACCCATGACTTTATAGTCTATTTTATAGAGCTTGTCACCTTGGAATACCTAAGTGCTTCTAAAGAACCAGGCACTATTTTTATTTACCTATGCTTTACCTTTGCTCGTAGCCAGGTACAAACCTCATCTTGATTTCTTTTTCCCAGTGTGAAACGAATCATCTATCTATACCCAGGTAAGACCCCAGAGGAACACCACAGGATAGTGTTCTGTGTTACTAACCATTTGGACCCCCCAAACATGAGGGGGGAGGTCCATATATTGTTAGAATCTCAGTGGGTTTCATTGAGCTATTCACCTAAGTTCTCATTTGGCAGAGGACACTATAGGCAGAGAAGTTGTAATCCAGCTGAATTACGGGTAGGATCAGAACAAAAGCCCTAATCCCACGTGACCCCTGTTTAGGCAGTATTCTTACCATGCTATTCAGCCCAAGGACATCAGTGTATCTAGATGTCATTTCTCCAACAGATGGGTATTTTTTTTTTTACAATAGCAAAATAAAAACCCTTCTGAAACATAACAGTATTATGGTTTCTCTGGGAGCCACTGCCATTCTTTCAAAGCAAGGACAAATACTGCATATTCACTGCAAAAATACAAATAGATTTAATATACACACCCCTGCACGCACACACACACACACACACACACACTGTATAACACATGTTTACACGTTCAACTTAATTTAACAAATAAGTATCAAGGAGGGAAGCCCTCTACTGGGTGCTTGGGTAAATATTTGCATATATGTTCAATATATACACAGAGGATTATTTGAGTCTAAGCTCCAAAATATGTAATTATTGCTTGGTAAATCCACATAAAGTTAAACAGACCCAGAAAATCTTCAAAGAATGATTGCTTGACAAACTAAAGTAGCTTTTAACTCAAATAACAGTTCGGGAACCACTAGTTCTTAGACATGATGCATGCCTAGTGAAATAGGAGTTCAAACAGTGAATCGTCGGAGGGCGGGCGTGAGGCACAGACCCCTTACCTAGCAGCAACGTAGAGGGTTCTGTTCATGATCACCATCATCTGGATGTCCAGTCTGTGCCTCTGTGTGGTGTTCCGTCCTGGCTTGTGGCCCACAAACACCGGATACTGTTTTGTATCTGTGAAAAGAGGGGATGGGGCAGGAGAGGGAAATGCAGATCAAGCCAAGAATCTACAGGGCAGGGTGAGGAGGGGGCTAGCCACAAGACAAAATCATGTTTAATTCAGACTGTGCCACTATTACCCATCTCCAAAGGAGCCTGTTATTTTAGGAAATTCTGTGTCAGGGTGTTCTCTAAGAATGAGCGAATTACACTTCATTTCCAGATGCCTGGACTTGGGCTTCTGAGTGTCACAATTTCTGGGGGGTAAAGTCACTAGTGAACCCTTTGCATGAAGGTGCTCTTTTCTCCCACAGTTTGCTTTTCATCTTTGGTGGAGTGCTAAGCCCGAGGGGGCAGGCTGCCAAAGATCTTGTCTCTGGACAAAACTATTTCAAAGTTGCCTTCCCATCAATCAGCACAAAGGCAATGTGGTCTGGAGGCGACGGCCTTCGTCCAGGAGCCAGAAGAAAAATACAGTCTCCACAGGCGTCCGGTTGGAATAATCTCCCATTGAAGGCAGCCCTGCTAGGATGGCTGGCATTCTAGAAACTGTGGGAAGTTCACTCTGGAGTTAAGCCATTGGTTAATCTCACAGAAATGTGGGCCTTGACAACACAGGGTCAAAGTGAGTGTAGCCAGTCGGTGATCTGGAATTTTCTCCGACTTGGAGAGACTGTGAGCACATTTCTCCTTTCCTATAGTTCTCTTTAGCTGAGAATGCACAATATGTAATAGTGTCTGATCTACAGAAATCCCTACACCTCAACATCTGTCTGCCTCCAAACCTACAGACTCCTGCACACTGACTGTCCTCCAATACAAGGAAAGGAAGAAGAGTCACATTTAAAAGGTAGTGTTCTCCAGGGAGGGGGTTGGGGTGTGAAAATGGCAAGAAAACCTAGAAATCCATTCATAGACTTATGCTCACACCCCTCGACTTTAAATCCTGGAGTATCTGAGCATTGCTCTCCGTGGTTTATGGTCAGGGAGTGTTAGTGTACTTTACTCATGAGCAAGCTTGCTATGAGATTGCCCTCTGCCTTTCCTCAGTTGCTCTAAATTCGATGAACCCATTCTTGAGGAGGTTGCTAAAGTGATTCCTGTGTCTCTATTACCATGGACTTAAAGAATAATAAAGCATGAGTTTCAGCAGCATGGTTGGGCTGGGGTCCCTTCTAAGAAATCTTATCTCAAATGGAGAGAGACACTGGACCGGGGCCCTCTGCACTTTTGTTCTCTAATTGTCCCATGCATCAACCCTGCCACCTCATCTTCTTGTGAAATCATCTCCTTTTTCAACCCAGAGAGTCCAGCTGAAAGCCAGGCACTGATGGATCTTGTTAGTATCCCGTATTAATGTCAAATATCCTTTGTATGGTTGTTTGGGGACAATTACTGGGAATAAAGATTCTTGGAGAAACCATTGTCTTTCACCGTTACTGGGATAAAAAAAACACTCAGTTTTTTGGAGCACAAAAAAGTAGTAATTGGATTGGAGTCTGGCACCTTCTAACACAAGTAGAGCAGAAAGCCTTAAAACCAGCCGTATGGGGGAATACCACTATTACTTGACTATTGCTGGCATTGTGTCTTACACATGTAATCAATACATGGGCCTTATTACAAGACATAAAGGGGAAATAATGGTACTTTAGAGAAAAAATTTACTCTTAAGACTTAGAAGTTACATCCTTGCTAGACCTGGGTAAAGACTAATTTTGAATTTCCAAAGGACCTAACTGTTTAAACCTCTGTCCTCTGAGAGTCTACCTGAGTGTTAGAAGGACACCTAAGTCACTACTCTTTCCCTTGGGGACCTTGATGAGCGTTTCAATGCCCACACCAGTCCCTACACACCATCTGATGGGAATGTGTACAGATATCCTACCAATTTGACTAGACTTGAGCTATCTGCCTTCACCACCTGCACAGGTTAAAGGACCAAGTCTCCCTTTCTGCACAGGCCAGAGTCTGCAAGAGAGAGTGGTGAGTTGTGGTACTCACAGTTGCCATGCGAAATACTGATTGGCTCGGAGTCCTCGGGGAAGGCGGCCCCAGCTAAGTGCAGCAGTGTCAGGTGGAGCAGCAGGACTTCCGGCCTCATAGTAGTTCAGCAGGGAGACGCCGTCTCTACTTCACCCTGGGGACAACGCAGAAGGTGTCAAGTCAGCTTTGCTCACCGCCATGAAAGGCAATGGTCTCAAGGTAACCGTGGCTTCTGTCCCTAGGGAATTCACTGATTCCTGAGTTTTACATAGGGAACCTGTGTCCAGCACCCACTGTATCTGAGCTTCCCTCAGACATAGGGCACAGCCTCAGTTCTCCTGACTGAGACACCACAGGGCATAAGAGCTGTGTCTCAGTGTCGGGAAAGTGTACCCCAAAACATGTGGACCACCGAGAAGTTTTTTTTTGTTTTTTCTCAGCAGGTTTCTGGAGATCACAAACTGCCCCCTCCCAAACATGTTTCGTTGGGTCAGGATCTTTCAGAAATAGGAAGTTATAGCTAATATTGAAAAATTAGATTTCTGATCATAATCTAGGTTTCCAGCTCTTTAAGTAAAAATCAGAATATTGACCACACTGGTAAGACTTACGTGACACATGTCCCAGGCACCACGTCCATAGCCCCCAGGAGGTGCTTGAGTGCAATATGCAATATGCACACACACACACACACACACACACACACACACACACACACGCCCCACACCTGACCCAGTCACTCATTTCTGTTCCCTGCGAAAACCCTTAAGGGAAAAGTTCATCCCTGGTTTATGTAATTCTACAGTGACCTTAGGCATAAATAAAATCACACAATCTATGTTTAAAGAGAAGTAAGAGCTGGCATGGTGACTCAAGCCTATAATCCCAGCTACTTGGAAGAGAGAGATTGGGAGGACTGAGGATCAAGGCCAGTCTAGGCAAAAAGTTAGCAAGACCTCCATCTCAACAAACAAGCCAGAATTGGTGGTTCACAGCTGTTATTCGAGCTACACAGGAAGTAGGGGTAGGAAAATCTCAGTTCAAGGCCAACCCTGAGCAAAAAACGATAGATCCTACCTGAAAAATAACTGAAGCAAAAGAACTGGGGGTGTGGCTCAAGCGGTAGAATACCTGCCTATCACAAGAGGACAGCTCTGAGTTCAAATCCCTAGAACTACACAAATAAAGTATGTTGATCCTTTCAAATTCTGTGAAGAATATCCTTTCAGATTCTGTGAAGAATATGCTGTAAGGAGGCTCTAAAACCCCATCCTCTATCAGTATGACAGAGTTAAAAAAAATCTCTATATTTTAGTCTCAGACAGTACATCGTAATGAAATGGGAGCAAATAAAAATGCCAGATATACTGTTGTACCCATCTGTAGTTCCTTAAAGATGCTCCTTGTGTGTGGAATAGTGCTAAATCTTAGAAAGAAAAATCCCACTCGGGGCTGCTGGATACATTGAAAAAACACTTGCACTAATGTATCATGTAACTCCGGAATATTTCAAGTAAGTGTTGATTTATCAGGAAATTAATGTAAAATGGGAAATCTTTTCATCTTTTCAGAGTAGTAGTCTTTGAAGTCACCTGCCAAAGATTATCCTTTTTGAACAAAGCTATTTTATTGTAAGTCCGTCAATCATTTAAGGTTTGTGTGCAGAAATGTCAAACTTAGTAACCTTGGTGTCTTTGAAAGTTAACTTGGCAAACAAACTGCTAACTTTTGCTTTTTTTTTTTTTTTTTTGGTACAGCATTTAATATCAGATACCTTTGTCTCTTTTCTTCATGCCAAAAAAAAAAAAACATTAACAAGTCCCAAATGCTGTGGCGTAACTTATAATTTCACAGACACAGCTGGGTCTTAATCATTTCTCGAATTGAAAAGTGCACATTAATTAATTTGCTTTATCTTGAAAATCAAAGAGGGAAAGAAATTGAGAGCAAAGCCCAAACCTGATCTCTGATGTGCAGATTAAAATCAGACTTTAAATGCTCACTGTTCACAAGAGCAATGCATTACCGAGAGACATAAACATGCATCTACAGGTTAAAAACGAGGCCATTCACTCATTTACTTGCTTCTTACGTATGGCGTCTGTTCAGGATGACATTACTGGGGGGATCAATAACAAGAGTAAGTAAAACACAGACAAGACACAGGACACAGTCACGGTACAGGTTAGGTGAGAAAGCATGAACAGGAAGAAGCAGCGACATTTACCAAGGGCTGGGGGCAGAACAGCTGCATCGCACAGAAGAATTCTGCCTTAGAGAATCTGCAGCATGCAATGGTACACAGAAGGCCACTCAAAATAGTGACGCTCCTTCCTTCCTCTAGAAACCTAGAGACACACATGTATGCTTTAGAGAAGCATTTTTCTAAACATGACAAATGGGTCTCTGTATAAATGTCCTCCATGCTAACAAGACATGGTAACAAGACTTTATTCCAGCTTCCAATTCTAATCCTTTCCACCTCAGGATTGCAGGAGTCAGATGCAAAATTCTCAATCCTTGACGCTCTGAAGAAGAGTGTCTGCATGCAGCAGAAATCTATCATGCAATTCAATGACTTCTTTAAGTCCTTCCAGATAGCGAGGATCACAGCTGAGATGTCATTGAAATATCTCTAGGTTTACAGTAGGGCTCTCTGCCAGGAAAAATAGCTGTTTTAGGAGTCTTTCTATCATCACATCATCAGGCAGTTAACATGTACATCACATGGGTGAAAGTGTCTGGAAGAACTGGACAATTTTGGCCTGTCCACACAAACACTTTAAATTTTTCTTCAGCTGAAGTTTTGATATATTATTTTCTCCCTACTCAACTTTGGACCTTAATCCTTGTAAATATGTAGACGATACATTTTCTTGTTGAAATGATGACTTTGTAGAAGAATCCCAATTCAATTACGTTGTCATGTTCCATCCCACAGAACATGCACTGGGTCTCTCACCCAGGATCACAGCAGTACAGACATGTACCAGCCTAAGAGAACTGAAACACACTGGAACTTTCCAACGAGGTTAAAGATATTGAATTAGCTGTGCTGCTGCAGCTGGAGAACTTGTTCATGTCATTTTCAAAGCTTTGAAAAGAGCAAGCAACATAGAGTGTGTTTACAGGTGTGTGCAAGCATTTGCCATTGACTTGTGATGTGCTTATATAGACAGAATACAGCATAGGCCTACACGGCCACTTAGAAAATCAGGTAAAGGAATACCACAAGTCTGAGGATCTAAACAAAAACCTTTACTTCAACTGTAAAAATATGCTTATTGTGCTTGGATTTTTCATCTAATTATCTCAGCCTGTCACCATCCTCAGCCTGAAGTGACTGTAAAATACACTGTTACTATAAAGTTATAGTCCTATTCTGCCCTGGCCCACAAAGTTCACAGTCCAACTTAAGCAGATTCTTAACGTCAATGAGCACCTACTTTGTGAATTCACTGGGTCTAAGTCCATTTAAAATTAATTTTCCTTGACTTTTCTATGGTCTCTGAGCCCACGCAAAAGTACTTTTTAAAAAAACTGTACTTTTTCCAAATAGTTGTGACCATTGGCCGCCGTGAGCTAAACAAGCTATGCGAAAAGCTGATTGGCTAGGAAAGTCGCCTTCAGATATCCAGGTGGAAGACCTGACAGAGGAGGTGTGTCCCAAGGTCCTACTCATGTTGGTAATTGTGTTCTAAAATGGAGTCCTCTCAACAACAGGAGCTTACACACACACACACACACACACACATACAACACAACACACACGTACAACACACATACAGCACACACACAGGCACAGACACACACACTTTCCTTCCATGGATCCCGTCATGTACTAGGCCATTGTGCAGGCAAAGCATGAAGCAAGGAAGGGGTGTTATCGAAACTAGAAATGATTACAAAGTTGCAGAATGAGGTCACCAATTATTGCATCTGAGTTGTAATAAATAGGGTTAATTTCATAAAACCCACAAGAACTTCCCAGGCGTGATAAGCCTACCCAGTCAAGTACCATTCAGGGTTAACCCGGATACTGGTCTAATTGTCTGCCCAACTATTCTCCCAAAATCTTACCCTGAAAAGTGTTCTGGGGCTCACAGAGTAGAAGTACTTGTCCAAAACTGGCTCATAGAGAAAAACAAAACAAACAAACAAAAAATGAAACCAGTGCTTAGAATGCTAGGAAACTTCACACACTACTCCAGATTTCTGGTTTCTTAAAAAAAAAAAAAAAAAATCAGGGATGTGGCTTTGCTGGCCCATGATTCCATGTGGCATACTCTGACCATCCAGGAGAGGGGCCAGCCCTGTCTAGTTCAAACACTCCCACCACTTCCCATTATGGTAGGAAGTCTTCCTCACTTATCAGCCCCTCTGCCTGACCCCTGAAGGCTCTGAGGGCCACCACTAGCCACTTAGATGAATGGTATCATGTGTGACAGAGTGTGCTTATCTTTACCATCACCTGCAAGGTGCTGTGCCAGCCTTACTGAGGGGACCTCATGGGACCAACATCTACACACACAAATGAGTGCTTCTTATTTTGAAGACTCAGCTGGGCTGCTCCATGCACTATCTACCTGTCCACCTGTGCAAATGTTGCATCATGGGCCCAGATGTATGGATGCAACCTGGGCTTGGTTTGGTATACACAAGGTCATCTTCCAGTCTATTCACATCCAATGAGCACTTTAATAGTAAATTGTGATGATGTGAAGGATGGTATATTTGGAAACTCTAAGTATGGCCTTGAAATAAAAAGATGACGGTAGTGGCACCCTTTTTCCATGGAGAAAGTAATTTCCTACCATGTTTCAGTCATTCGTTTAAAAAGCACATTTTCTAGGGACATCATGGGAGATTTTAAGGGTAATCAATAATTCACACCAACTTAATAAAAGGAAGGGCACATTAATGGTGTGATCCTGGGCACATCGGTCAGCCTTGCTGGCTCCCAGATTCCTCATCTGTGACATGAAAGGACATGAAATATGGTCTGTACAACTGTGTGTGTGTATGTGTGTGAGAGAGAGAGAGAGAAAGAAGGAGAAAGAGAGAGCGATTACAGCCAACATTCAATGCAGGAGTGATCCTGAGCCAGGCATTCCACTGTTACACAGTTCCAAGGCCAGGGTCAACAGTGAGAGG